TTATATATATATATATATATATATATATATATATATATATATATATATATATATATATATATATATATATATATATATATATATATATATATATTTGCATAGAAATCTAACCAAACTACAAAGTTATATGATTAATATGCTAATATTTAAAATTTACTAGTAAATGGACTTTACAAAAATTTAACACAATAAAAATAAAAAGTTTAATATTAAAAGTATTTCATTTAATTTGTAGTATTCGGCAATGCAAATTTTTTACTGTTATTAGATTCAACTAATATACATTCAAGATCTCATGCAAACTCGTATAAGCAGTTAGTTGATGGCAATCGATGTGTACGAGTAAATCAAATATAACATTGAAAAGAAAAAAGAGAGTAAAACTCTCTTGAATATATCTCCTACTTTAAAATATTATTAGAGTTGTAAAGTACAATAAAAATATAAATATAAAAAAAAATATAAATATCAAAAAAAAGTATAAATATAAAAAAAAAGTACAATAAAAATATTATCGATTTAAAAAAAATACAATTGGATATGAACAATATTAAAGAAGAAAAATTAAAAAAAATAAAAAAAAAATAAAAAAAAAATAAAAAAATATATATATATAAATATTAAAAAAAAGTACAATAAAAATATTATCGATTTAAAAAAAATACTGGATATGAACAATATTAAAAGAAGAAAAAATAGTCATTATAGGAGGTAAAAGTGTTGGTATTACGAGGAATTATCATTTATTATTGTATTTGTACTTAAAATTTAATATTTTAACACAATTTTTAATTTTTTTTTCTTAAAATATATATATTCTGAAAATCGTACAAATCGTAAAAATCGTAAGTCGAATCGTAAATCGTAAAAATCGAATGTAAATCGTACGATTTTTTAAGATTTCCGATTTATTCAACGATTTGAATCGAAAAGGATTCAAATCGAATCGAATCGTACGATTCAAATCGTAAATCGTACGATTTTGATAACAATGCATAGGAGTTCTCTCAAATTAGAAGAGATAAAACTATATAATTTCCCAAGATAATATTAACCTCATTAATATTTAAATATCATTTGGAAGATAATATGAATAATTTACTGATATTATTTCAAAATGCAAAGTGGTATTAATTTTTTTATTTCAATTTGTGATTTGGAGTACCCAATTGTTGACATTTCTTCTTTTAATTTCGTTTAAGTTTAATACATTCTCTTTTATTGAACAGAAAAAAAAAAGAAAAAAAAAAAGAAAGAGATAGAAGTTTGCATAGTGGCATTAAGGTCTTTTCACCTTAATAAAAAGAGTTCCCCAAGTAAACAAACTAAAATTATTCGAATATCAAACGCAAACGAATATCACACCCTCCCCGAACCCTCTGTTCATTTTGTGTGCTCATTTTCATTCATCAATGGAGGATAATACTTTCGATCCTGTAATTGATAATAACCTTTTCCTTTTTTCTTTTTCTTTTCTTCACCGTTTATTCTTCTATTATCGAATTTCTTTGCCCAATTTTGTTACAAATGCCAATCATTTATGCTTTTTTTCTGGGTGTGCATGAAACAGGAATTGATTCGGACAATTTTCAGGCTTGTTTGGGAAAGGCGAGGAGCAGGTATCTCATTTTCCATTGTTTCCCTTTTTATTGTTCAGTTTTTTCTTATTTTTCAATTTTTTTTTTCAATTTTGTTTTTGGGTGTGGGCAGAGCGGGAGAAGAATCAATTCTCAGAAACTGAAGCAGAGGTTCAATTTCAGTAGATTCTGTATTATGTTCACGTTTTTTTTTTTGTTCAATTTCATTTCATTAGATTATGATTAATTTCATTCGTGTTCATATATGTTCGACGAAATGCAAGCAAATTTTGATGTTTCAACTTTATTTTTGTTTGTTGCTTGTGATTTTTCAAATTCAATAATCTGCAGGTTGGACCAAGTACATCGAAGAGAAGTCGCCTAACTTCTGGTAAGAAATATCGATATGTTGTTTTCACCACGGTATCCAACGGATTAACTTAAGTAATGCACTCGTGTATTGGTTGATCTTGATTTTGATTATTGTAATTCGATTGGAAACAATTAAATGGTGGATGGCTGTAGGCATGCTTTCTTTTACAGAAAATTTGAAACGTGCTCGGGTATTGGCAAGTCATGCTATGTGTAGTGTTCTCATGTAAAAGAATGAGCATCTTTTTGGTGATTTGCATTATTAATAAATATCAGCGAATATTTGGTGATGAGATGAGTTTGAAGTTGTAGTTACTGTTCGAACAACATGATCTCATTTCGGTAGACAAACCTTTTCTAATCGACACATTAGAAAAATGTGTTTTGGTTGGAAGCCAACCTTCAGTTGTTCACTGTAGTTATCTTCTTTGAGGAGAAATGCGGTACAATTAATTTGCCAGAACCTATATAAAGTTTGTTTAGAAACATCTTTTGAGGCCTAACACTTTTTTCTGCTCATTCTCTAAACTTGCTCCCCTAAAACATAACTCAGCCGTTCTTTAAGTTAGCCAATTCTCGTATCCACAAATCATTCTTTAAAGTTTTTATTTAATAATGTTGATTGCTGATGTACGTGTGTTCTACAATAAAATGCAGCCAATGCAAATGCACTGAAGCTGAGCTGTGAGCTCCTCCGAGTTTTCGTGACAGGTACCGAAGCATAAGAAAAACCCACCCGTCTTTCGGTTTCTCGATTCTGAAATAAAAAAGACTAGCCCTTTTAGTTTTATATACATGAGCTTTCACCTCTCTGCAATACCATGGTCATGGCCAAAAGATATGTGGTGATTTTTTTTTTGTTAACTTTGTTGTAGAGGCCATTCAACGTGCTGCTACCATGGCTGAAGCAGAGGGCAATCATATAATAGAAGCAAGTCATCTAGAGAGGATACTTCCACAGTTGCTTTTAGATTTTTAAGGTAAGTCAGTGCTTGCATTTTGGTATGGAATTACATTAAGTCTCATATTTTACTAAAATACATAGTAAATGATTGATGTGTCTGTACTCTGTTTTTCTTGTTAAAAGTAGTCGGAAAGCAGTTATTCCTCCCTAATCTCTAGTTGCTGGATATCAACATGAAATGATTAGTAAAACGATAGTAGTATCTCTTTTATGATTGCACTATTTCTCCAGCCAGCCTCGTTACATACCTGGTTAATTAAATGCTGAAGTAGTTATATGCTATTTTTTCCAGCTCTGTGTCTGTTCATCGACGCTGGAGAGTTTATTGTCGAGATGGGGATGATCAAGCCTGCAAAATTGTGACATTTTGACGGTTTTGCCCTTCAGATATTTGAGAATGTGGTATAAAAATATGTGCTAGACTAGATATCATAGTGAAAGAGCCTAGTGCTTTCACTTAGGAAGTAGATTTAGTAAGTTGAACTTCCTTAAAGTCAATCTACTGCGTGAAATACTTCTTTTCGTGAGCAGATCCTGATCTGTTCTCCATAGGGCTGATATTATGTTTCAACTTTTGTGTATTTTGATTACGTGATAACTATGATTTCGTTGTCTTTGGTTGAATAAATTGAGTAGAATTTGCCTGATCAAGATCTGAAATGATTGAACCATGCTAATCATGGAGTTTGAAGAACAGGTGACTCTTTTGGACTACAAGTAAGAAAAGGGATAAAAAAACGTAGATTGCATGGACGATTAAGTAATAAACATTTGTCTATATTAGCCGAAAGTCGAAACACAAGATAACTAGACTTAGAATTATGAATGAAGGAGGTATCCAATCTTTTCCTTCCTTTTAAGTCTCTTGCCTGAGTTATTAAGTCTACCTCAAGTATATTTACTTTCAGGCGCTAAACCTGGAGTTAATAAACCTTCTTTCTCACATAGGTTAAGTTTAAATTGCTTCGATAAGGGAATTAGCCAATGGTAACACTTTAAACATGTCTAAAAATTGCTTGAATTTGGTCTCCTCTTTCAAGAAAATGTGGCAAACTAGCTATAGCAAAAATTAATGATACATATTAATTGTTCTCAGGATAGAATAATGAAACCTTGCTATAACTGTATGGAGGAATCGAAACAACCATGATACATATTACAATTGACTGAATCAACATCTTCTGACATCAAAACACATAAATTACATTACCAACAGATTATTCATCAATTCTTGTAACTAATGCTTTATCTGAGCTAGCATGCACCTAGCATCCTTACTATTCGGCCTCTCCTTGGGATTATTTAGTGTGCAAAAGCAAGCAACCTTGAGCACTAACAGCATCTGCTCCTCGTACCCGTTTCCCAACAGCTTCGTGTCAATTGCCCTCCTCGGGTCCTCAGAAGCCATCAAGTTTCTCATCCACTTCACCAGACTCATCTCATCCGTGTACTGGAAAAACTCATCCGAGGGCAACTTTCCGATAACCAGAGCGCCCAACAACACACCGAAGCTGTACATATCGCACTTATCGGTGAACTTAAACGTCTGGTAATACTCGGGGGCAATGTACCCTACAGTCCCCGCCACATTCGAAGTGGTAACATGTGTTTTGAAATCAGGCATCTCTTTTGCGAGCCCGAAATCCGCAATTCGGGCTTCCATTTCGTCGTCCAACAACACGTTCGCGGGCTTCAAATCTCTGTGGATCACACGAGGGTTGTGGTTCATGTGAAGATACTCTAGCCCAGAAGCCACCCCTAATGCAATCTTGTACCTGGCCAGCCAATCGAGCTCTCTTTTACCTTCGGTCACGTGTTGGAGGCAGTCCTGTAGGCTGCCGTTCTTCATGTACTCGTAGACTAAGTAATGGCAATTGGGCCTTGATAGATGGGCTAGTAGAGAGAGCAGATTCTTGTGCCTGATTTGACCCATTGTCTGAATTTCGGACTTGATCTGACGCATTTTCTTGGTCAGGAGTTTGCTGTCTTCTTCGGCGATCTCCTCTGCATCTTTAGGGGGCTGGATTATCTTCTTTATGGCGATTTCTTTGCCGTCGCTTCCAGGTAAAACGGCTTTGTAGACTTCTCCACAACCGCCTCTTCCTATGACATCAAGCGATGCTATTCCGTCTTCTTTTTCGAGGAAAGACAAATCCTCGGGGGATTTTATCATGGGGCTGAAGATTTTCAGTGTTGTGTCCTTTTTATGCCCTTTGATTGAGTACATGAGCAGTTTGAAGAGGAGAGCGAATACCAATGCAGATCCACTCCCAGCTAAAGTTCCGGCCAAGAATACAAGAATCCACTCAACTATTCTCTTCTTCTTGTTCTTGTGCTTCTTCTGCTTTGGTGAGGTTGGGGAAAATGCGTTTGCCACCTGGCTCGGAGAAGGCGCTGAGGCAGAAACGGACTGGTTTCTTCTTTGGGGACTTTCGGCGAACATGTACCGTGCTGGTAAGCTCTCGTTTTCGATCAATTCGGAGTCTAATTGATCATTCGTTAATGGCACCTGGCCCTCGAGTAAACTGTTGCCTGATATGTCTATGAATCTGAGATTCCGAAAATATCCCAGAGATAATGGAACTTTTCCGGTGAACATGTTGTCGGAGAGATCGAGTTTTTCCAGGTTGGGGTAGTGTTTCAAGAATTTGAGATTTCCTGTGAATTTGTTTGAAGATAAATCGAGAATTCGGAGGCGGATCAACGAGGATAATCCAGGCGGGATTTCGCCGGAGAATTGATTTTTTCCCAGGCTGAGTATCTCAAGTTTCCGACAGTCGGTTATTTGAGGTGGAATTTGGTCGGAAAGTTGGTTGTCTTGTAAGGAAAGTTGTTTCAGCTTGGAGAGCTGACCGATGGCAGGAGATAGTTTGCCTTTGAGGTATTGAGATTCCAACACCACACGGGTAACTCTGAGGACGTAAGAATTGTTTGGAACGATTCGTCGTTCGCAGAATATTCCGGCGGAATCACAGAGATTCCTTTCCGGTGGGTGGTGGATGCCGAAGTGTGATTGTATATGCAGGAGGGCATTATGGTCAGAAGGGTGAAGATTGAGTCTTGATTGAACGAGGCAGGTTAATGTCAAGAAACAGAGGAGAGAGAAATGGGATTGGGATTTGGTCAGAGCCATGTTCACAGAATGGTGGTGGCGGAGGCCGGTGGCGGCGGCGGCGGGAGATAGAAGAAGATGTGGTGATTGGTGGTTGGGTGTTTGAAGATAGATGGTGGGTTTTATTGTGTTGTTATGGAACAGTAGTGTTTGACTGAGAAAGTTGAGAATGCCCATGTGGAATAATTTGGCCAAGGGGGACCATTGAGTTTTTGTCATAGCGTTGACTTGTGAATTTCCAATAATCACCCTGTGTGATTTTTTCTTCAATATATTTTGGGACAAATTATAGTCACCCACTAAGTTAATGTGAAATTAAGAAAAATTCTTTCGTGTTTAGGTAAATACAACCACTACTCCCAGCTATGAATCTTCTTATATTTCTATCTTTATGGTGTTAAATTTGACACGATCTTCTAGATTTCGTGGAATGTTCTTTAATTTGTATTTGTTTTGTGTAAAAAAAAAAAAAAAAAAAAATTAGTTTCTGATGCACCACAATCTGATATTAGTATTACTAGTCAAGAAACGCATTTTATGTTCATCTTGTTTAAAAATGTGGAGTTCGAACGAAGTAAAATGAGTACACACTGGAGAATATTCCACATAATTTAGAAAATTATTAAATTCGACACTGCAAGAATAAGTGTGTAAGAAGATTCACAGTTAAGTAGTTGGTTTAATTGATGAAACACGAGGAGTTTTCTCCTAATTTAACCTTATAACAGATGATGACCGAAAATTATCCTATATTTTTAGTCATAGCAAATTTTCCCCCTTATAATTGTGGGATCTGACCTAACCTAATAATTTTTTTTAATAAAAGAATATACACGTGAATTAACTCAAATCGTGAGCGTGAGCGATGTTGCTCTTTTTCCTCAAGACTAATTGTTGGCTTTTTATTGACTCAAATCTCAAAGGGTTAGCATTTCACATGGATTGTCACACATAACTAGTCAAGTTGAATTACGTATTGGGAGGTGCTATTCGCGGTAGCAAAGTATTTCGTTACTTTGCAAGCTATAGAAAAGTAAATATTTATTTAGTGTACTTATATGGTTGACTGTGAGTTCTTCATTACCAAAAAAATAAAAAATAAAAGTATTTTTTTTCTCCAAATTTACATGTTGTAGTGGATCTGGATTTCTTTGTTATTAAAAAGAATTCCGAATTTAAAGTCAAGCATTAATGCATAAGTAACAAATTTCCTTCGTTACTAAGGAGAGTTGATACCTAGTCTTACTAATAGAGTAAACGGTTTAGGGTTTGAGTCCCCCTTCCCTACTTCCGCTTATAATAGATTTGAATTTACCTAAAAAAAATCTAATTATAGTGTAGGTTTTATAAGTCTTCACCCCCAATAATTACTTGTCCCCCCCTCATCCACTCAAATCTCAACATCGCTCACGAGAGATTTTACACCTTTTGTTGACTTCAAAGTTGACTAAGAAATATCAAGTCTTGATTTTTTGAAACAAGTGTGTTGTCAGTTGTCACACAATAAAATAAAAATAAATAGACTCGGAGATATAGTTCAATGTGATGCTTCAAGTGATGTATTATTTCAATTTTAAATAGAAAATTTAATCAAGAAAAAAATGCAAATTAAATTTTACAACCAAAATAAATAAAGAAGTAAAAAGAAAACGAATACCACAATCTCACAAAAAAAACAGCACACAGTAACTATTTAGTACCCTAGATCACACAATAGAAACCCAATAAAGTACATAAATACAAACCAAAAGTCTTTAACACATAAAAATCTACATAACTTATTCTTCACCAAATCAAGAACTTAATACAACCATATTCTTAATTAGATATAACTAGATTCAAACTTCAGTCATCACAACAACGGTACATAAAGTACTTCTCCATCGGCTTACGACACTCGGCACACACCACCGTTTCCGGAACATCGTCAACCCCCGAAAGCACAAGCCGGTTGCAGTGCTCGCCGCTCATATTTCCCGCCAAATAGTCGTTAAGTGCCGCCACAAAGCCGATCCGTGTAGCCTCCGGAGCCCACGTCTCGAAATCTTTCAAACCACTCAACATCGCGTCGCCTTTAGCCCTCGCCACCTCGCCGGGCCCCGCTCCCGACCCTTGGCTAAACATGGCCCACCCTCGATCACCGTCACCGCCAAATGTGAGCATAGTGAGCACCTCGCGGCGAATGTGGTCAACATCACCATCATCATCGATTTTGGCGCCTTTATTGTGAGAGTACTTTGAGTGCATCATGCTCTCGATTCTCGTCCAAAAGTACCAAATCGAAGTGGGGTCCGTCCAACAATGGCTAAGGCCGTTCGATGTCACCGTTTCGTTGAGCCTCTTCATTCGTTCTTTGGTGGCGTTTTTGCCTATGTACACCATCTCTAGTCCGATTCCTGCGGAGCTTGCGGCATTTCTAGCCGTTCGTATGAAATCACGGATCCATTCGATTTTGTCTCCTCCGTACAAACATATGACCTTGCCTTCATTAATCTACGATAAACAAAAAAAATAAATCAAGAGGGGTACTAAATGCAGTATACTTTACAGTAGAACCTCGATAAATTAATAATCTCGATTAAATAATAGTTTATCTCGGTCCTGACTCGGTGAAAACGTGCTAAATTATTAACTCCATAATTTAATAACTTGCTAAATTAATAGAATCTCTAGTCCCGACTGTATTAATTTTATAGAGGTTTAACTGTAATTTGAATCGACAAAAAAATGTGTGTTTATTATAGTTACTTACCCAAGTCAATATCGATTTATCGATACCATCGACAACAAGCTTAAGTCTCCATTTCTCACCCTCCCACAAAATCGATTCATTTCTCGTAGCAAAAGGATATGCTAAATTGCCCCAAATCCACACCATGTGAAGTGCATTTGGGCTAGCCACTTTACCCTGTGGATCCAACGACACGAGAATCGGCTTTTTCGTAAATTGCCAAAATTCCTTGATGTACCTAACAACAGCCGGTTCTAGTAAGCTGTGGTGGTGCAGTGTGTACCAAGGCATTTTCCCCTGCAGCTGCTCGAACTTAAGCTCGTGCTCTTCGTTCCGTTTGATCGTCCTTTCCACCACCGGGACCCACACGATCTCGTAGTGAAAATCCGGCCTTGTTTTCGATTCTTGATAGATATGGCTAAGTATGCGAAGCTCGTCTTGCGAAATATCGAGATCCGATACGAGCAACAAGACCGTCTTTCCTTTTAGAGCTTCAACACCAACCTATATATATTCACACATCAATGAAATATATATATCAAGAAAAAAAAAGAATTTATATGTATTATATATATAGATATAGATATAGATATAGAAATAGATATACTTTTATATTCTTGTTGGCGCCGATAACAAGCGGTTGTAGATCATCCTTTAAGTATATCAATTGGCCGAGTATTCTCTGGTTATCGAAATGGGGAGTCGTTTCGAACAGACGGACGAGCGTTTGGAAGTAGTCGGTGTTTTTCTTCTCGTCTGCAAATTAAAGTTTTTTTTGTAGAAGATTGTTAAAATGTCTTAATCAGACAAATTAACAATGTTTTTTTTTTTAAAGTTTATAATTTACCTATGTATTGGTAGCAAAGACCGAGTTGTGTCTTGAGGTGATCGTGTATTTTCGACACCTTGTGTCCTAAACTCGACAGCTCCCATGTTTCTGCCGTTGACGAAAATACCCTACAAAAAATAAATATTGTCGTAAAATAGTTAAAAATATTTCTAACTATGATGTAACAAAAATAATTAAGTGAACTATTCGATCGTAACTTACTGACGATTAAGGCCGATAATTTCTGTAACCTGAGAAGCACAGGCAACCAAGATTCTCACAATCCAATAAACCGCAACCGGAAAATGCGCGATTGCAACCGCCATCGGTTCAACGTCTTCCGATATGTATTTAGACGGCATCAATCGACTGAACTTAGCAATGCACGTAGTTAACTCCAACAAATCCTTAACGAGGTTGTTAATCGTGTCGAATCTTGATTTTATTACGTGGTCGGAGAGGTTAATGATGTCCGGTAATTGCTTGAGTAGGGCCACCGATTTGGCAAGTGGATCGGTGGTGAAACGATTTGCGACGAGCCAAAATTGGGCGTAGTTTACGGAAAACGATGCTAGTGCTATTGCGGCTTTGGCTTCCCAAGTGTAGCTTGAGAGGGAGTTGAGTATTTCAATTGACGATGCATGGCCGTCTCCCCCTCCTCCACCCGAACACTTGCATGATAACTTGAAAAAAATACGGAAAAACGTGAATGCCACGTCATCGGGCATGTGTGTGTGTGTGTATATATATGTTCACTATATATCTTATACTCGCATTCACATGTATGTATGTGTAAGTGTGCGGCGATACGTACTACTCGTCAACGGGCTGGTAAACTGGTCAACAAGTCAACTATGTGTGCATCACACACTCTTTTTTTTTTTTTTTTTTAAAACAACCGTGATTTTGTGACCGTTGTAGATCAAAGGTCATGATTTCGTTGACAGTTTGCAAATTAATAACCACGATTTCGAAAGTTTAATGATTCTTTTTTTTTCCAATAAGGGACTAGAATAAGACGAAAACAAGAACTCGAAACCTAGTACGACGTAACTAAAGATGATTTCTACTACATATACCTCGCATGAAACCTTGTTCAACAGAAATGCCAACGTGTCATGGATGCCGTCGAAACCCGTCAGGGCTGCAGTTTCCTCTCGTATTACGGCGTGTTTTCCCGAGCCCTGATCATGAACCAAAACAACTCAAATCAACTGCAAAATTAGCAAGTGTGTGTGTGTGTGTGTGTGTATATATATACATACATATATATATATATATGTGTAAGAAAGCAAATAATAAAATTTAGTATACATACATTGAGAATACCATCAATGCCGGGAGAAACAAGATTAAGGATATCATTAACGATGATAAGGATAGATTCTAAGTCGAACAAACGACCATCGTAATCATGAGTTGCCTGGATTTGCTTCCTCAGTGCATTGTCATCGGACAACATTGGTCTACGATCGTTGCCGCCGATCATCGACTGTTGTTTTCGAGCTGCAGGCATACTAACACCACTTGCCATTATTTTTATTTATTAATTTTTTTTTTTAGGATTTCTATGATGTTTTTTTTGGTGTAGAGGATGCAAGTAACATATATAGTGAGCAGGAAGGGAATAAAGGCATGTTGGATCAAGTTCCTTGCTTGAAGGTGGTGTAAATTTAAAGCCATTTTCAATTGGATAAGGAATATATATTTATTTACACTATACATGTTGGATACTACTTTAGCACCATAACAATTAACAATAATCATAGCCCAAAAAAAAAAAAAAAATACAATCTATACAGGTTTACTGGATAAGCCTGCCTACACTCTCTCGTATAATAGTTTGCAAACGTTACGGGAGATATAAACCACAATAGCTTAATCATGCATGTGTAACAAGCTTTCACCTAACGACCGCTGACAAAGTGATTCGTACTTGGATCAATTGACAAAAACTCACTTACTCCGACCGCAACATATATAGCACCATGACATCAGCTTTAAGTGATTAGTTCCCCTCATTACTGCAAATGTGACGTCACTGTCGAATGCAGTCACACTCAATCTTGCATAAGCAACTTTTTTTTTCTTTCTTTATGATGCTGTTTATGACGTCAGCAATTCTTTAATTTAGTGTACTGATAAACAATTTTGCATTTTTTTTTAAAATAAAAGAAGTGCAATTCTTTGCTTAGCTGAAGCAAAAGCAAAAGGGCTGCCTAGCCTAGCTAACTCCAATCTGCTTTTGTTTTTTGTTGGTGATGAAAATTCATAAGGTAAACTATATGCTATAGTTTATAATCAATGTATAACCAATCTTTATTTGATCAAAACATAGGTAAAAATTCTAACACAATTTTTGAATTTTGTCAATTCTTTATTAAAAAAAATGGTATTTTCAAACATTATTTTTTCCTTTCCAATTTTATTTTTTGGAACAATTTTAGAGATTACATTTATAATTTACAAAATCGTCGTTTCGGAACAAAACATTTCGGTTCCATTTTCCATTTTTGGTTACCGATTTTCCCATTTCTTTTAATGGATTTAGAATTAGTTTTTCACTCACCGGTTACCACTAAACATGGATTTTTTCCCCCCACTTGAAATGCTAATTTTGATTCGATCTGTTCGATTTCTTTCCGATCGAGTGTTGAATCGAATTATTGGTTCGATGCTTTGCGAATTGTCAATGGGCCAAATCATATAGCCAAATTGGGCCATGAGCAAAAGTCCAACTATCATAAATTTCAACAATTGGACTAATTTCCAAAAATGCCCCAAACCCAATAATTTCATCAGGCCAGGGTGGGGGGTGGGGTAGGGGGTAAAGGGGGGGGGGGGGGGGGGGGGGGTGGGTGGTTTGTGATGAAGGTGGAGAGAATGAGAGAAACTGACGAGGAATATGAAAATGCGATCCACGTCATCACTGTCAGTTATAGCAGGCTGCTGCCGCTATCGTGCGCCTCTGAGATTATCCTTTTTAAACCTCACTCCTCCACCCTTAAATCACCACCGCCTTTGCATCATCCCTCCGCCGCATCTGGCCGCCGCCGCCGCTGCTACCTTCTCCTCTCGTTGCTGCCGCCTTCCTGATCCCCATCCATCAACGGGGAACTCTCTCTTCTCCAGTATGGAGGTAAACTCGCCGAGGCAATTTTCCCTCCTTAACTATGTATCTTTCTTTTATGTTATGAGGGTATTTAATTCTAATTGGGAAAATTGGGAGTTAGAATTTTGAGGTATGGCTTCTCTAAGTCTGTTAATTCTAGCAAATTATAAGGTTTATTCATCTAATTTCGTTACATAGTGGCATTATGGTTGTTTGAATGGTTGAATTTTAGTGCCCTAATTGGGTAGGGTTCACACTAGGTCAGTTGGGATTTTCTGATGTGGCTTTTACGTTTTTTTTCGTAATTTGACCTTACCTTTGGGGGTGACCGTAATTTACCCAAGCAATAAAAGATCAAAATTCTTGGCAGTCTAGCTTTTCCAAATAAACATGAAAGGCATAAGAGGGGTAGGGGATGTTAGAAAAGGGATAAATAATGGGGTCGTCTATTTCAAATTGTCATTAGCCGAGCCGTTCGAGTTTCTTATGAAAAAACCCATTGTACTAGCTAACTTATATTGCTGTTTCATGGTCGTGTATGCTAATATCTTATCTCGATCTTGTTTTATGTTTTTTCAACAGCGATTCTGGAGTGGAAGTAGTATAAGTAAGAACAAAGAAATGGTGGAGCATTTGAAGAGCTATGGAGTTATGAGGTCATCGAAAGTAGCGGAAGTAATGGAAACCATAGATCGGGCTTTGTTTGTGCCCGAAGGTACACAACCGTACGTTGATAGTCCCATGCAGATAGGCTACAACGCTACTATTTCTGCACCGCACATGCATGCCATGTGCCTCGAGTTGCTGGAGAACCATTTGAAGCCCGGCATGCATGCCTTGGATATTGGTTCAGGTGACATATTTTACCTTGGTGGAGTTGAAACGTAACTGAATTTTGTATGGAGAACTTTGATCTTTGATGGGAATTATCGTTTATCTTGGTGGAGTTGAAATATATGGCTTCCGAATTTATTTTTGGATTCGTTTATTCTTGTAGGCACTGGGTATCTGACTGCATGCTTTGCTGTTATGGTTGGATCACAAGGCCGTGCTGTTGGTGTAGAACATATTCCCGAGCTGGTCGAAACTTCGATTAAGAATATCAAAAAGAGCGAAGCGGCTCCACTTTTTGAAGACGGATCCTTTTCGGTACATGTTGGTGGTACGTCTTTGTTTCTGAGAATCCCCCTTAAGAAAAAAAAACCAACAAATTATAATCAAGGAGATATATTAGTTTTATTAATTGAAGCAAACATACATCCATACGTTAATATATCATATCGTATTTCTGTCTCGTATTTTTTTCATTGATTTATTGACTTCTATTTTACCTTAGGCAACATTATGTCTGACAACAATTTACGCCAGGCGACGTTATTTTAGAGTCTGTTCCATATTTAGAAAGTTATTACAGTGGATGTATTAGTACTGCGCCACCTACATTGTTTAATGAAGTGATTACGTGATGACAGATGGCAGGCAGGGTTGGCCCGAGTTTGCACCTTACGATGCCATACATGTTGGAGCTGCAGCACCAGAAATTCCACCAGCACTTATCGAGCAACTGAAGCCTGGTGGCAGATTGGTAATTCCAGTGGGAAATGTCTTCCAGGACCTACAAGTTGTGGACAAGAATACGGACGGCACACTTAGTGTTCGAAGCGAGACTTCTGTTCGTTATGTACCTCTGACAAGCCGTGACTCTCAGATACGAGGTTACTAGGTAGTAAGTATTCACTGCGGGTAGATAAATGTTTGCTCTATATGTAATTAGCCTTTCGTACTTCTTCTTATTTCGACTTTGTACAGAAAGTGCTGGAAATTGGTTTGGTAGTTATGGCTGTGTATATTTTGTAAAACCAATTTCTAACTCTTTTCCGCGCTTCTAAAGGTAAATAATAATAAAACACGTGGTTTGTTTTTCCTATGCATTTGAACTATTTATGATTGTGCTAACTGGAAAGGAAAATGAAATATATTAGAACGAAGACTGGACATTTCTTAGACATCAAACCGGATGACGCCTGCCTAAAACAACAGTTGATTTGCATATGAATGATTGCCTACTCACGAGTTGGCTTCTCATTATCCCACGAAGAATGGATCTGAATTCGAAACTTATCGTTTCCCCACGACGCTTTCTTGTCTTGTATTCCCCGAGCCGAAGTCACAACCGCTGGATTGCAATCATCCACTTGTATCATTTCAAGTAAGGGTATATCTCCGATTTCAGGTGGGATCTTCTCCAATTTGTAGCAGTGCCTAATAATCAGGCGTTCCAGCATAGGGAAGTGCTCGTTGCCTGCTTCCCATTTCTGTATATCCAAGTCTTCCATCAGCAACAACTTCAGCTTCGGAAATCCAATTTCCTCACCACACGTCGTCGTCTCCCACTTGGCCCCGCAGAAGGCACTCCATCGCAGTTTCAACACTAGAAGATTCGGCAAATCTGCGATTGCTTTCACATTCTCCCATGGAAATCCACATCCACTCAGAGTTATCTTCTTAATGTTCTTAGGGAAATTCACCATGGAACAAACAGCTCTACATCTAGGGCTAGGATCCACAACATGGCATTTGAATGACTCGAATTCTGCACGAGAGGCGAAATAATCACCGCCAAAGAAACTCAATGCTTCAAAGGCTTCGTCTTCTTGTGATGCCTCGACACGGATCCCTAATTTTGCGAGGCGGGGTGTTCTCGCAAGAACCCCCTGTGTGCAGCTGTGGGCGCTCACCCCCGAAAGTGTTAGAAGCTTCTCTAGGATAAGAGAATCATCTGCAGGAGAAGGTTCCGGAAGGTCGAATCCCACACAATCGATGTGCTTCAGTTCATGCAACTTCCAGATCTCGATAGGCAGATAAACGGGAGGAAGATTCGACGACTTGATGTTGTGATGGCGATGGACGATCAAGACTTCGAGTTTCCAAAGGCACGATATTGAAGATGGGAGTTCATCTCCATCCTATGTTATGGCGAGGTACCTCAGGTGAACCAGATTCAGCACTCGATGTGGGAATTCGTAGAAACGAATTGCCAGTGCATCTAGCACCTTAAGCAATTTAAAGCCCAAGTACAGATCTACTGGATATTGCTGCTTTGGGCCGAAACAGAGAAGCGAGCGTGCACCTGGTAAAGATTCCTCCATCCAGGTACGCACTTGTTCGATGCCAAGTACAACGTTGTTTTGGAAGCAAAGGCGTCTCTGCTTTTTTATTACATCCTCCGGGAAACTACTTTCGTTGTACTTTTTAATAATGGGGAAGAACTTTTTGCTCTGAGCTTCACTAACGCAAATATTCCGAAAGGTGAAATGGAGTCTGCATGTCTTAGTTCTCTTCGTATCTACAGAGCTCAGCTTCGTATTTAGAACTACGCTTCGGGAGATGAGTTCGTTCAAGCACTCATCCCCCGTTTCTTCCAAGCTTCTTTTTTTACCTTTGTTTTGCGGATCAAGAAAGCCCTCGGAAGCCCATAAATCGATGAGCTTCGAGCGAGGAATCTCGTAGCTTTTCGGAAACACTCCCATGTATAGAAAGCATACCTTTAGATACTGAGGCAACATATCGTAGCTCAGAAGCAGTGCCTTTGAGAGGGGCGTGTCATCGTCTATTGTGATGGTGAGTGGATCTTCGTTTTCGGCCACCGTCTTCCACTTTTCGACCATTTTGTCTATCTTACTCAGGAGCTTTCCGACCTCAATAATCGCCAGAGGGAGCCCTTCGCATTTCTTGGCAATCTTCCTCCCGATTTTCTCGAGTTCCTTCGAGCAAGATTCTCCGCGAGTGAATACAATCTCACGAAGAAGTTTCCAACTTTGATCCTCATCCAGCAATGGTATTTGGATAGTTTTTCCACCAATCGGACGAGTTAAGCTTAGCAGCTGAGTTGTCAAGATGATGCGGCTCCCGTTTCTGTTATCCGGAAAGACATGCCTTAACTGGTCCCATACACGAGTGTTCCATACATCATCCAACACAACCAAATACTTGGTACCTAACAGAGACTTGTATACGTAGTTGGATAATGGATTTTTATTGAGGTTTTCGTGGACACCTAGTTGATCCAGAGCAAGTAGCAGAGTATCTTTCAACTGATAGTGTGGGCCGATTGGGAGAAACAAACGATGCTTGAAGTGGTTTTCAACAAGTCGACTGTTGTAATAAACTTGTTCAACAAAAGTAGTCTTACCGATGCCAGCCATACCGACAACCGACATCACGTCACGTTTGGGATCTCCTGAAAAAAGCCAATCTTGTAGCTCCTTCAGTTCACTATCCAATCCCACCATCTTTTCTCTCCGATGGATTTGCCATGCAAAATAATAGCTCTGTTTCTGGTGGTGGTGTTGTTGTTGTTGTTGTTTGTCTTCTTCTGTGCTATAGTGTTCCTCGGCCTTCAATGTTTTAGTAAATGAACTGATTTCTTGTTTGACTATTTGTAGTTGTTGGGAGAGAACCAGTTTGAAGCTCTGATCATCTTTAGAAATTTTAGATCCGGACTGAAACCAGTCCGATATGTGGCGGTTGATCAGATCTTCAAATCTGTGTACAGCATCTTTGATTTGCGTTTCGGAATCGACTGCTCTGTTGCTGCTTGGCAAGGACCTCATTGGTTTGATGAATGACTTCAAGTAACAAAGATCCTCCTCAGAGATAAGTTTCATTTCTGAGCTCTCTATTGTCTGCTTCAGTGAAAGCACAGCAGCGTAAGCCATCTCTCTCTCTCTCTCTCTCTCTCTCTCTCTCTCTCTCTCTCTCTCTCTCTCTCTCTCTCTCTCTCTCTCTCTCTCTCTCTTGGGGGAGAAATTAAACTACTCAGATGGCGGATGCTGCAGTGACGTTCCTTCTGGAAAAAGTGACGTTAGTGCTGAAATACTACGGCGATCTGATCGGCGGCGCTGAAAATGAGCTTCAATCGCTCAAGAGCGAACTCGAATCGTTGAAGGTGGCGGCACACAAATCGAAGAAGCAGAAAGTCTTCAAACACATGGAGATGCAGACGAGAGACGTTGTTCATGAAGTGGAGGACACCCTTGACACGTGTTTGGCCGCTGCCGCTGCCGCTGCGGAGAAGGAGGAGCAAAGAAGGCTGGCTCCAGGTAATTCCGACCTGGCAAAAGAGATCATGTTACTCATACAAAATAAGGTGAAACCAATGATCGAAAAGGCCGCCGAGGTGGAATTTGCTCAGATGCAAATCGGAGACGAAGCTGGCTCAGACGATGAAGAACCGCCGGCAATCCTGAGACAGGTAAAATACATACACTTTCATCATCTTCCTCGTTAATGTCAATTATAATAATAGATTTTTTTTTTGACTATATTTATGGGTGAAAATTGGAAGCTTAAAATAAATTTAGCATTTTCATAAAATTTCAATCATTTTAAAGTAAAATTTTATTAGTCAATAGAAAGGGGAAAAATATAAGAAATTTCATTTTGAATCTGGACTTCAAATTTATTAATTTTGCTTTTGATTCGATTCTATATATATATATATATATATATATATATATATATATATATATATATATTTTATCTCTTTCATTATAATTTCTAAAATTTGTAATGAAAATTGATATTCTTTTATTTAAATGTATAAATATGTTTACAACGATAATATTAGTTTGACCCTTTGATATAAAAAAAAAAACTGTGTTTCCTATTGTTAATGTTCACACTAAGGGCAAAATAAATAAATAAATACAAAATCACAAAAGAACAAATATTAGAAGTTGATGGATTGGGTGGTTGATAATTGATAAATTATCATAGTATAAGGGGTTTATTTGATGTAGACGGGGTGAAATACACCGGGTGATTATTAACCGTTGATCTGCACATAATCACACACACCCATGTGTATGTGTTTTTAGTGAGAAGTTATTTCACTTAATGTTTGTTGAATGACTATCTCAACCAAAAGCTTAAGCTGTTAGTGAAATATATCATTTAATATTTTTTATGTCCAATAAGTATCACAATATTAAAGTTATCTAATTTATAAATACTTGATGAGGTCAAATGTTTACTAACAGTAATGGTTTGTTTCATCTAATAATTTGAGCAAAACTTGTTACAAGAAAATGACCTGAGTAGTATATATACATATACATGTATTCTGAAAAAGCATTAGGCTTTATAGACTAAGATATACTAATTTGTGACTTTTGTACACATCAGACAATCAGACGAGACAATGTCGTCGTAGGTTTGGGAGAAGTCGAAAAGACCATAGCTGGTTATATCATGGAACAAAGAGAGGAGCTCGATGTGATATCCATCATTGGTATGCCTGGCCTGGGTAAGACAACATTGGCATCGAAAATTTACGAGAGTGACATAATCCAATCCGAGTTCCACATTCGCATATGGGTCAACGTTTCTCAAAATTTCAACAAAAAGGAGTTGCTCCTCGGCATTCTGAAAGAGTTCAGCAGCGAAGACTTATCGGAGGTGAGTGAGCAAGAACTCGAAGAGGAAGTTATAGCATTCCTCGAGGAAGAAATGTTCTTGATAGTTTTCGATGACGTGTGGACAGTCGAAAACTGGAATGCTATCAAGAATGTATTGCCAACGAGCAATGGGATGGGTAAAGTCATCATAACCAGTCGTAAGAGAGAAGTCGGGGCGGCAGCTAGTCCTGTAAGAGGACCCTACATGTTGCGATTCCTCACGAAAGATGAAAGTTGGGAACTCCTCAAAATGGAGGTATTTCAGGATGTCGGGGGATGTCCTGAAGAGTTGGAAGCAGTCGGGCAAGAAATAGCCGCCGCTTGTGACGGAATGCCACATACGGTAGTTGTAATAGGAGGAATTCTTGCGGCACAGTACACAAAGCAACGATTAATGTGGATGATAAGAGAAGACTGGATTAATGTGTCTAAAGATATGACGTATTTTCTAAGTAGACACGAGGATATGCGCGTCGATATTTTAGCAATGAGTTACGATACGTTGCCTGATGAGTTGAGAGAGTGTTTTCTCTATATGGGGGTGTTTCCGGAAGATCACGAGATCCCTGCTTGGACATTGACCAGTTTGTGGATTGCTGAAGGATTCGTACAACAAAAGGAATCGCAAACCTTGGAGCAAACTGCGCGCGATTATTTGAACGGTCTTGTCAGCATGAACTTATTGATAGTTGGCAGAACAAATCCCATGGGCGAAAACAAAACATTCCGTGTCCACGATCAGGTACGCGCATTCTGCATTTCTAAAGCTGCGGAGCTGAATTTATTCCACGAGGTAAAAAAGTCGTCCAATGAAGGACTTTTTGAGCAGCCAATACAAAATTATCGCCGTGTTTGTTTCCATTCGGATGATCTCCCTGATTTCCTGTCTGAAAAACCCGTGGGCAAAAGTGTCCGCTCCTTTCTATGTTTCAGGGATAGATCCATCGACCTGGAAACGAAATACATAACGGCTATCCCCGATGCCTTCGGCCTGCTCAGGGTTTTGGATTCAAAATCAATCAAATTCACTCTGTTTCCGACAAGGCTCGTCAAACTGATTCATCTGAGGTACGTCACTCTGCGTGTTGATGACCTAAAGATCCTTCCGGAACCAATGTCTCAGCTATTTAACCTACAAACTCTTGTGGTCGAAACAAAATCGCGTACACTCGCCATGAAAGCAAACATATGGAGGATGGTATGGCTAAGGCATCTCAAGACAAAAGCAGCCATTGTTCTCGACCAAAAATGGGAAGGTGATGCCGGTGAAAACCTTCAGACACTGAGTACATTATCGCCCGAATCTTGCACCGAAAGCGTCTCCAATAGGGCGCGCAACATAAGGGAGTTGGGGATTTGCGGGAACTTAAACGAAACTCTTCTCGATAACGATAACAAGTTCTTGGAGAATTTGCGTCTCCTCGAAAAGTTGAAGCTGGTGCATGATGTGCACTACGAAGCAGCAAACGATAAAGATTATAAGCCAATGATTCGTCTCCCTCAACACAACCGTTTCCCGCCAAATCTGAAGAGGCTGACATTGACGAAAACGTCCCTCGATTGGAGGCACATGTCTACCACGCTGGCAATGATTCCAAAGTTGGAGGTCTTGAAGCTAAAAGACAATGCCTTCACCGGAATGGTCTGGACAGCTGTCGGCGGTGGCTTTCCTAGTCTCCAATTCTTGCTAGTTGAAGATGCCGATTTAGTTATTTGGAAGGCATCGGATGACCATTTTCCTAGTCTTGCGTGTCTCTCGATTAAGAACTGTGGAAAACTGATAGAAATTCCGATGGAGGTGGCGAAAAACCTCCAGAAATTGGACATAGACTTTCTTCGGAGATCAGCTACTGATTCTGCGAGGAATATTCTGAGACGAAAGGGAAGGGATCAAGAAGAACAAAATGTAAGATGGGGGGCACGATTCCAGCTATCTGTTGGTTCTGGATGCGAGTCGTAAACTATCAGATCAGGTACCGTAATTTACATGTTTTTTTTTTATAGTTCACATAGTATACTGTACAACAACTAACTATTCCTATGTCATTCATCCATTGATGCAGCGGGTCAACGAGTATATATACTGCGGTCTCATGCCTAATGCAGCCAGCTTCATCAATGCAATAAATACTGTCTGTGTGCGTGCGTGCGTGCGTGTGTGTATGTGGAGTAGCCGGTGGGATCGAGCAGTAAAATATGTTGAACTAGCACATATGCTACAGCAGACATATATTATAATGTAATAGCATGTCTCAATGTAAAATATGTTGAACTACCACTTGCTTCCAATAATTTATACATACACTGCATGTTGTATATACCTTGATCATCATTTAATGTTATAACCAGCATTTGTTTAAGAAAATCAAATATTCGGTGTTGCCTCATTCATCACTATGTATGTGAGAAAGGACAAATAGATTAATTGTCCATTGCATAACAACCCATTCCTGAACCAAATTATATTCGGTTGTCAACCATCAACCGACCCACAAATGTTGGATCGGCAATGGTTTTCAAATTTGAGCAAAATTGGTTTGTCGCATGGGTCGGTTTTTAGGCCGATAATTGACCGATCCAACATTTTTCGGATTTATGGCCCTCCAACATTTTTCAAATCTTTATTAATTTATATAAAAATGTAATTTTTTTTGCATACAATAGCATTAACGATTCCCCTCAGATTTTTTTTAATACATTCTTCAAATCTTGGTTCTGCAGCTAATGCATATAGTTATTAGTTATATAGCTATAAGCTATTAGCTTATGATTGTTTTCGTCCGAGGGCTGCTCCTCGTCCGTGGGCTAATGTGGTCTGGTGTCCAACTATTACACCGAAACACTCGTTTATTCTGTGGCTTGGTATTCTGTCCAGGCTCAAGACCAGGAATCGAATCAAGCACGTGGAGGTTGAAAAGTCGTGCATTTTTTGTAAGGAGCCTGAAACTGTGGTGCATTTGTTTTTCGGATGCACGTTTACTTACAACATTTGGAGTATTATTCGGGAATGGATGGGCTTCCCTCGGGCTGCAACTACGCTCAAGAGTGCTTTGAAATGGCTGAAGAAGGAGGCTCGTGGCTCATGTTGGCGGCAAAAAGCGAAGAAGGTGGCCCTTGCTTGCACCGTTTATCAGATTTGGAGTGCTCGCAATCGGAAAATTTTTGAGAACGAGACGCCTAGGATTACTGAGATGGTGCGTAAGATCAAGATACTCGTTTACAAGACGGTTTTTGCCTTGTTTCCGCAATCAGCTTTGCAAATCGTGCATCCCTGATTGTTTTTTGATCTTTGGTTTGCACTTGACCCTTTTTTGATCTTTGGTTTGCACTTGACCCTTTTTTGATCTTTGGTTTGCACTTGACCTGTGGGGTCTTGTTCATGTATAGGCATTGATATATATTTTTTTGATTACACTGCCTGGGTATGCCCAGTGTATTTGTAAAGTCCGTTTTGATCTATATATTTCACATTTACCGATCAAAAAAAAAAAAAAGATTTGTTTAGTTCATCCACACAACATTAAAACTAAAGCCTCTTTCGATTAGAGCTCATTAATTTGGATTAAATTCATGAATTGAATTAAATCATAGCTGACTAATTAATAAGTTAATTAGTAAGACACTCCATTCTTTAGATCAAATCTAATAAGTTCAAATATGGTAATGAATATGATGTGTCCATAATATCACTAGTTTAGCAATAATCCAATTACATGTTATGTTCGGATGATTAAATGTTGCACCTTATTATTTACACTGAGTAAGTTTCAACTGTAAATTTACTCGTAATCACAGACACTCATATGCATGTGTGGTTAGTGAGTGGTAATTTAATCAAATCCACGGTTAAAATCATCCCACTATAAATAATCAGGTGTAACATTTAACTTTCCATTAAGTTCTCCATTCAAATTCATGTACACAATAATATCAACTCCATATATTGTTTTATACTACACCAGGTGAAAGTTATACCGGGGAGAATTTCATCGTTTATCTATACACGCTAATACGAAATATGTGTGTTTGTGCACTTATAATAATGAATTATCTACCCAGTGTACTTCACCCGGTGTAGTATAGTATAAACAAGTCGTACCAATATATTTTATAGATAATGTTAAAATATTAAAATAACATTTATGTATTATTGGCCACCTTATTAAAAGAAAATATAATTAATATATATATTGAAAATTTATTCCATTAATTTACTTTCCAGTTTCCACGCTGCCGACCAATATAAATCATTGGGACTTTCACTTGTCTTTCCTCCGCCTACAGTTGACTTGTTGACTTTATGTTTTCACATGTCTTTGCTCTGCCTACTCAATGGCATGGCAACTTCTTATTTATTTATTTATTTATTTATTTTAAATAAATAAAAGGAAATTCAACTATGGCAAGTTGTTAGGTATAAGTTTGAGTTTGGCATAAAATGCCAAAAAATATGATAGGTGGAGACTAGAGAGTATAAACTCTTATGTAAAACATTTTCTTTTATTTATTAATTAATTAAAAAAAATTAGATTCAACTAGATTTGGAAAAAAAACTTCAAAATTTTAATTTTGAAATTCACCACACTAGTTTAGATTTGATTCAGATTGAGTTAAGCATTCAAAATTACTATTTAATCGATTGAGGCCTCATTGGCTTGTTAATATTGTGTTAGATTGACTAAATAGTAGGAGTTAGTAACATGTTTGTTTGGTAGAATTCAATATTATTCAAGTTCACTGCTAAAGTTGAAGTCCACTTAAGTGCTACTACATCATGAAATTAGTAACACCCCTCCCCCACATGATTAATTTTGTAAGGATGACTAAAATAAAATGTACAATTTTATCCTTCAAACAATAACTTAATTTTGTTAAAGAAAATACTTTGTAGACAACTCACATAATTTAACAAATTTAATACCACATGTAATCTAAAAAATCAAACATACATTATTAACTAATTAATTAGTTAGCCAGTAGAAAATTAATCCAATCTAATCTAATCCGGTCTAATCCAATAGGTAAGCAAACGAGGTCTTAATTAGTTAACCAGTAGAATATTAATCGAATCTAATCTAAATTACAATTTCATTTAGCCCGATATAGGTAAGCAAACGAGGTCTCATCGTTGGAATAAACTCAATAAATTTGCTATCAATATTAGATATTTTATAAATGTACAAAAATAAGAATGAGCCAATGGTCATTGCCAAAAGCGAGTCAAACCAAACAAGTTGACACCTACTCAAATTTGGTAATTTTATTACAATTATGCTATTTTATTGTTGCCATAATATCATGACAAAATATTGGCAAAATTGTCTTTTTTTTTTTTTTTTTTTTTATATATATTTTGAGTAGTGTCGACTCAAATTTGTGGTCCTCTTCATTCTATAGAATATCTTTTCTTTAAAGATTCTGGCTCGACCCATTCTCAAGCTTCGATCCCGAAGCAATTGGTGACTCGGTCCACACCCGGGGCCTCCGCCACGTGACGATTGCATTTTATATCTAGGCTAATAATCTCTCGATCAACATTGCTCTCTTTAGGAATCGAAATCACTGATCTCAATCTTTGATTACTTACATATGTAGGACCTTAATCGTTACTTGTTGTATAAAATTAACTTCTAACACCTCATGCATTATCAAACTTAAAATCAACTAGTGGTTGAAAATACCTTTACCCAACTTTTATAGAGTATCAAACGCATACATACACACACAAGCACCAACGATATTTGAAATATTTGTCTGATGGATGTTTATGATAAATGGGTCACTTATTTATTTGAAGGAGTTGTGGAATGATTGTCCAAGAGAACTTTTGTAACTATATACAAAAATTTTGTGGAGAATTATTAATATTATAATTTAAAGGGTAAATTGCACATCACCCCTATAAATTTCTAATATTCGCGCTTTACCCCTCAAAATTTTTAAAAGTGAATGTCCCCCTTCAAACTTTTATTCTTGTTGCACATTGTCCCGATAGCAAAATTTCAATGGATTATTCATCAGAATTGAGGATTTTTGTTGCACATTGTCCTTTTAAATGTTATTTTTATTGCACGTTGCCTCTTAAAAACACCATTTTTTTTTGCACATTGCCCCTTTAAAATGTTATTTTTGTTGCACAAAACTTTCCAAAAATTGGCTTATAGGGCAAAATGCAGTCAATATAATATTTCGAAGGGGGAATATCCATTTTTTTAATTTTTAGGGGAAAAGTGCGAAAAACAGAAATTTATAGGAAGTAAAGTGCATTTTGTCGTAATTTAAATTATTTTTCTAGGATTAATTAACTTAATTTTTTATACATGAACAAAAAAGCCCCTTTTCAGTGTGAAAGCCTATACATTTTTTTTCTCCATCAAAATAACAAAATTGAAAAAGAAAAACGAAATTGCATATTTTTATATATGTATAAGAAAATTAAACTTGAGTCGTCGGTAGTATTATTGCATCCCCTCTCTCTCTCTATCTCTCTCTAAATCTTCCTCCTCTCTCTCTCTCTCTAGAAATGGCGGAGGCTGCGGTGACATTCCTGCTGGAAACGGTGACGGAGATACTGAAATACTACGCCGATCTGATCGCCGGAGCGGAAGGCGAGCTGCAGGAGCTGCAGAAGGAGCTGGAACTGTTGAAGGCCTGCCTGAAGGAGGCGGCGGAGATGCCGGAGAAGGGGCCCCACTTCAGAGTATTAGAGAAGATGATGAGGGAGATTATTTATGACGTGGAGGACACCCTCGATATCTGTCTGACCGATGCTTCCGCCTCCGCCTCCGCCGCGGCGGCGAAGTCCAAGAAGAAGCTTTTCGGCCGCCGGAAGGCACAGGCGGCGCTGAGAGCTATCAGCATGGCGGAGAAGGTGAAATCGCTAAGAGAAATGGTGAAGCCGATCTACCAAAAGGCGACGATGGAACTTGAGAACATGAAAAACAGGCGTGGATCTTCCTCCGGCGCCGGTGAGGAATCAAGGACTATTGTGAAAAAGGTAAATATTTCATCAAACTCTTTTATATTAAGGGAAAATTGCACATCACCCCCTGTAAAATGTTAATTCTTGCACTTTAGCCCTCAAAATTTTAAAAGTGAATGTCCGTTCTCCTTCAAAGTATTATTCATGTTGCACATTGCCCCGATAGCAAAACTCCGATGGATTATTCATCGCAATTGAATATTTTTGTTGTACACTGCCCCTTTAAATGTTATTTTTGTTGCACGTTGCCCCTTTAAATGTTATTTTTGTTGCACGTTAGCCCCTTAAAAACACTATTCTTTTGCCGTTGCCCCTTTAAAATGTTATTTTTGTTGCACAATGCCCTCCAAAAATTGGCTTATGCGGCAAAGTGCAACCAACATAATATTTTGGTGAGGAAATATCCATTTTTTGAATTTTTAGGGGGGAAAGTGTGAAAATAAAAAAAATTATAGGGGTGAAGTGCAATTTGTCCTTATATTAATCAAGGGTAAATTACAAACACCCCTGAGGTAAGGTCTATTTACAAAAATAACCTCCCATGTTTCGATAATTACATCCAACCCGTGCAATTTGTAGATTTCTTACATTTAACACCGCTTTTGTAGTGCGGTGAGTGTAAGAAATTTTACAAATTGCAGTGGCTAAAAGTAATTTCTCGAAAAGAAGGGATTTTTTCGTAATTATATTTTTCCCTTAATTTTAATATTAGTATAAAACTACATATATGTAATGTATTTTAGCTTACTGTCTCACACTACATTATTACCCGTTGACTAACTGATGAATAATACAAATGCAAATGCTTAATGGTGAATCTAAATGAATGGTTGAAAATGAGTCTAAATGTAATTCAATTTAAGATAAAATTCACTTCACCCCCTATAAATATCTCATTTTAGCACTTTCCCCCTAGAAATTCAGAAGAGTGATAAACCTCCGTCGAAACATTGATTTGATTGCAGTTTGTCCCAAAAGCCAATTTTTGGTTGGCATAATGCAACAAAAAATACATTTTAAAGGGGCAATGTGTGAAAAATAGTGTTTCTAAGGGGCATAGTGCAATAAAAATAACATTTAAAGAGGCAACGTGTAAAAAAAAAAACACTCAATTCCGGTTAATAGTCCCTCGAAATTTTGCTACTGGGGCAATGTGCAACAAGTATAACATTTTGAAGGGGGTTAAATTTTGAGGGGGCAAAGTGAGAAAATTAAAAAATTATCGGGCGTGACTTGCAATTTAGCCTTCAATTTGATGAAATTATAGAGAATAAATATAAGCCAAAAAAGAATTAATATATCTTTAATATTGAATTTATAAATTGTTGTAAAATTCTTTACGTGTTTTATTTTTTGGCAATAATTTCGAAAAAAAAAAAATCCTTGTATTTCTTATTATTTATTACCTATAAATATTGTGTAATTGTTTTTTTTAAATTGATGTTGCTTTATGTAAAAAACAATTTGTATATTCATTGATTTTCAAGATATTGTATATATTTATTTATTCTTTTTTTATAAAGTTATAGTGATTGGATTTTAAAATTTAATATTGAATACTACTTTTTACAATTTTTCAAAATTTCAAAATTTTTATAATATTTATACAAAAAATAATTCGTCAATTCAAAAAAAAAAAAAAAAGTTGAATTAAATGTGGTTGTCAAAATATTGGCATAAATTGCACTTAAGCTCCTTAAATTTTTCAATTTTAGCAGTAAACCCCCTATAAACACAGAAAAGAGATTGATCCCCTCTTGATATGAAACTAGTTAGCTTATCACAAGAAATCAGTTGTACACAATTGTTTCTAGTCACCAGCTGATGTAAAACTTTTGTACACAGGATCTGACAATCAGGCAAGACAAAGTTGTAGGTTTCGAAGACGAGGAAGCGAAAATCGTCGGCTTTCTCACCGAACAAAGAAAAGAACTCGACGTTATCTCCATCATCGGTATGCCCGGCCTGGGCAAGACGACGCTAACATGGAAGATCTACGACAGCGACGCGATCCAGCGCGCGTACCGCATTCGGATATGGGTCAACGTTTCTCAAAAGTTCAACAAAAAGGAGTTGCTTCTCAACATTCTCAAAGAGTTCACGGGCGAAGACATGTCCAACAAGGGCAACTTCGAACTCGAGCAGGCGGTTCGAAAGTGTCTCAAAGACGAAAAGTTTCTGATAGTTTTGGACGATGTGTGGAATGTCGAAGACTGGAAAACCATCAAGAAAGTCTTGCCGATGATCAACGGGTTGGGTAAGGTCATAATAACTAGCCGCTTCGTCGAAGTCGGTACGAGCGCTAGTATCAGAGGACCGTATAAACTGCGGTTCCTTACGAAAGACGAGAGTTGGAAACTCCTTCAATTGGAGGTATTCGAGGATGTCGGCGTTTGTCCTCCGGAGTTGGTAGCCGTCGGCGAACAAGTGGCCCACAACTGCGACGGACTGCCGCTCACGATAGTGGTGATCGGGGGAATTCTCGTCGCGCAGTTCTCGAGGCAACGGCCGATCGGCGTGACAAAGAACGAATGGATTAAGGTGTCCGAGAATGTGATCCAGTTCGCGAAAACCGACAAGAAAAACCACATATCGAATGTTGTGGGGTTGAGCTACGATATATTGCCCGACGAGTTGAAGGAGTGTTTTATCTACATGGGGGTATTTCCGGAAGATCACGAGATACCGGCGTGGACGTTGACGCGGTTGTGGATTGCCGAAGGATTCATACAACAGAAGGAAGGGCAAAGCCTGGAGGAAACCGCGGAGGAGTATTTGAACGACCTCATCAACCGGAACTTGTTGATGGTTGGTCGAATAAACCCGATGGGCGAAAACAAAACGTGCTCCGTTCACGACGTGATACACTTGTTCTGCATTACGAAAGCTGTCGAGCAGAATCTATTCCAAGAGATCAAAACGTTGAGCCAAGGAGTATCTCTGCCTCCGATTCCCGCTACGGAAAAGTACCATCGTCTTTGTTTCAGCTCGGATCTCTCTAAATTCCTCTCCGAAGGAAAGGTTTACCCGAGCGTTCGTTCGTTTCTGTCTTTCTACAAGGATCTCGTGGAGTTGAAGCCGGAATACATCACGTCGATCCCCGACGCGTTCAAGTTGCTCAGGGTTTTGAATTCCAACTCGATCAGATTCCATCAATTCCCGCTGACGGTTACCGAGTTGTGTCATTTGAGGTACGTCACGCTATACGTTCACAATCTCACGGTTATTCCCGAGTCGATCTCCAAGCTATGGAACCTGCAGACGCTTCTAGTCGAGACGAACTCGAATACGGTTGCGATGAACGGGAATCTATGGAGTATGGTTCGGCTGAGGCATCTCAAGACGAAGGCAGCCATGGTTCTTGACCAGGAGCAGAAAGGCAACGCCGGCGAAAACATTCAAACACTGAGTACGCTGTCGCCGGAATCTTGCACGGAGATCGTGGCGAAAAACGCGCGCAACGTAAAGGAACTGCGGGTTCGCGGGAATTTGGACACGCTCTTCGACGCCAGGTTCTTGGAGAAACTGCTCTCCCTCGAAAAGCTGAAGCTGGTGCACGAGAAATCCGGGAAAATTAGCCTTCCGAAAACGAGCTTCTTCCCGAGAAATTTGAAGCGGCTGACTTTGAGGAAAACATCCCTACAATGGAGCGATATGTCTACACTGGCGAAAATTGAAAAGCTCGAGGTACTCAAGTTGAAACAGGGAGCATTCGTCGGAATCCAGTGGACGGTTCGTGATGTATTTCCGAGTCTTCAGTTCTTGCTCATCGACGACGCGGATCTCGTTATCTGGGAGGCCTCGGCGAAACATTTTCCTAGTCTGACGTGTCTTTCGATCAAGAAATGCCAAAAACTCAAAGAAATTCCACTGGAGCTGGCGAAAAACCTCCAGAGATTGGATATTGATTTCCTCCGGAAATCCGCTACCGCGTCTGCTAGGGCTATTCAAGAACGGAAGAAGAAAGATCAAGAACATGAACAAAAAGTCCGATGGGGGGTTGGATTCCAGCTCTCCGTTGGTTCGGGATGTGAGGCATAAACTATCAATCAAGCTCGAAAATCGAAACAATCGACTACCTTAATTATCATCAGGTAACTTACACGTCTTCCTCTTAAACATTTCAATTCACATAGTGTACATTTGTTTCAACTAATTCCTAGGTCATTTCTGTATCAATCGAAGAGTTCGTTTCTTGATGCAGGTGAATAAAACGGGAGCCGTGTTTTTGCTTAATTCCTTGCAAATAAGTGCTGAACTTCATCTTGTTCTAGATGAGGAACTTCAAAATGTCTGTACTCTTTATTTACGTTGTCGACCTACCGTCGTCGTTTTTCGTGTATTACTTTTGTGTGTTTCTTATATTCAACAAACTATTGTATTTTTTCCAAGATTATTAATAAAAATTGGCTCTAGATGTTCTTCATTTTTACCAGCTTGTGGTTTTTTTAAATAGACCACCAAAGAAGCACTACTCAATGATGCCCAATTTTTCCCTTATATTTTCCTCACCAAACACCTTAATTTACATGCATGAAATCCCCCAAAAATGAAATCGGCAATATAAAGTTCGACACCGAAAAATCATCAAATTTAACGTACCAAAAGCAACGAATTTTTCATTTGTGCGGAGATAAAAAATAATGGGGTTTGAGTTGAAGAAATTCATTTGACAGGGGCTTTCTTGATATATTTGTTAATATAGGGAGTAAATACACAATCAATTATAGCAAATGAGTTGAAAGTGTAATTACCCAGATCCCATCACCTTTTCTTCAAATACTGTTTCACCTATTACAACATACGCTAATCATGTTTATACCTTTAAAACATCTTATAGAAGATTTCCTGGATTAACCATAAACCAACCAACTCTCGATTATTATTACTGAAATCGTGTTGCTTACTCGTATTCGAATCCACATTCATTTTCTCAACAAGAATAACACGAACAACAACACGTTTATTCAAAGGGAAATGTTCACACAAAGAGGAAATTACATCACCGTAAAAATCAAATTCCAAAGTTTCGAACAACCAAAAGCAAACGCAAAGACGCAACGGAATCAAAAGTGCAAAAACGAAAGAAAAGACACAAACCAAATCCAACAACAGCAGACGATAATCAAGACAGCAGCTCCCCTTTTCAGCATTCTGCAACACAAGAAAAACGGGGCAAATGAGTAGAATTTATCAAAGCAAATCCAACTGAATACCTTCATGTTCTACTTACGACAGAGAGAGGTAAGAATGAAATACCGTACGAGGAAAAAACAAAGAACTCTTATTTCCACGAAGAATATGTCTGAATTTTGAGGAGAGTGTTGCCAGATTTCTTCAGTTTCTTCTTCATTTCTTCTGCCGCTTCCACAGCGTCAGGGCTGCAGTCAACCAATTCGATCAGCTCAAGGCATCCGAGTAAATCGAACTTCTCAGGGATGTCCACCAATTCATAGCAGTGCCTCAGAATAAGGCGTTGCAGTTTCGGGTAGTGGGTATGGTCAGCATCCCACCCCTTCAAATCCAGGTACTCGAGCAGTAAGAATTTCAGTTCGCGAAATTCCTTCTTTTCCGGGATCCACTCGTCACCTTCGAAGGCAATCTCTCGCAGCTTCAGAACTTCAAGCAACGGCAATTTTGCGATAATCGACATATCTTCCCAAGGAAGCGAACAGCCACTCAACCTCAACTTCCTCAGTGTTCTTGGGAAATAAAGTCTAGGCTGAAAGTCGACCTTTTTCTTAGGTATGGGATTTAGGACGGTGAATTTGAAAGACTCGAGCTTTTCGACCTCGTTGAGATATAAGCCTATGGTCGCCGGTTCTTCGGTCCACATAGCCAGCTTTGTCAAGTTGGGCATGTTTTGAAGAACCTCTTGGGTGCAAGAAGCAGCACTTACGTTCGTGAGGGTTTGAAGGTTTGCAAAGAGAAGAGTGTTCCTCACAGCAGGAATTTTCGGCAAATCGCTCTCGGTAAAAAGGAGATGCCTTAAATGCTTCAGGCCCCAGATTTCGTCGGGCAGAATCGACGTGCCCAAGAATATGATTTTGGGGTGTCGGCGAACCATCAACACTTGAAGCTTATCGAGATTGGATAATGCTGAAGGAAGCTTCCCATTATAGGTGAACGAAAGAAACCTCAAGTGAATAAGTTTAAGTATCTCATTCGGGAACTCGATGAAATAGACTGTGAAAGCATCCAACACCCTGAGGAGATCGAAAGTCAAACAATACGGTATCGGATGGTGATGGTGGGCCCCGGCGTAAAGAAGGGTACGCGCGGACGTAATCTCTTTAACGGAATTGTGAACTTCTTCCATGCACATGAGGATATTTCTGTGAACAGACACACGCCTTTGAATGTTGGTATCTTCTTGAGGTTCTTGAACGTACCTCCTTCTCGAATGAAAGAACAACTCCTTGCCACACTCTTTCACGGACAGATCCCTCAAACTATCGTGCATGCCACAAGCTTTAGTTTGGTTGTTTGAGGTATACTTGCGAATATGGAGGAGATTTCGGTCAATAAGTTCTTCCAAATAATAGTCCGCCAACTGTTCCACGCTCCGCAGCAATGGTGGTGGTGGCTTGAGAAAACCTTCGGCGACCCATAGCTGGATGAGTTTTGTGATAGGAATCTCACTATCTTCGGGGAAAGCCCCCATGTAAAGGAAGCATCCTTTCAATCTGCCAGGCAAGTGGTTATAACTCAAATACAAAATCTCCAAGTACGACTCGTCACCTTTGGCGGCAGCATCGTTCGTGTCTGCTTCAATGCTCTTCCAATATTCTTCCGTCTTGTTTTCCTGCGAGAGTAGGCCACCAATCACGGTGAGGGAGAGGGGAAGACCCCTACAATTCTTGGATATTGCCCATCCAAGATCCTTCAAGTGAGTGGGGCACGGCTCCTCCCCGAAAACTGTTAGGCCCAGCAACTCCCAACTATGTTCTTCGCTCAGAGGCTTCATCTGATGAAGGAAATCGGAAGATTTGGCATACTCAGCAATCGTTTTAGATCTAGTGGTGAGAACAATCCGACTTCCGTTCTTATCATCAGGGAATGATTTTTTCACTCTATCCCAAACACCTTCATCCCACATATCGTCCACCACTATGAGATACTTTTTCTTGAGTAGACTCTGATAAACGGCATCCTGTAACTTGTCGTTCCTCCCTTGGAAGTCTTTTTCGCCTGCCTTTTGGTCCTTCGTCTCCAGGGAATGGAAGAGCTTGGCGAAGATCTCTCCAACCTGATATTCTTGAGTCACTGTAACCCAACCATGAATTTCGAATTCATCGGTTATGCTGGAATCTTCGTAAAGACTTCTGGCGAGAGTCGTTTTGCCACTGCCGGGCAACCCAATGATCGGGAGTACTTCGCGTTGGCCATCGAGTTTCTCTATCTCCTTCTTGAGACTCTTAAAGTCTTCCTCCTGTCCCACGATCCTTTTTTTCTTTGTACGAGCATCTTTTTTAATAGTCTCCGCATACTCGGGCGGCAAATCTTGTGCTTGTGGGCCTTCCTTGATGGAACCGGCGAATTTTTCTGCTTCTTCTGCCAGTGGATCAATGTCTGCATTTATTTCCTCCAAAATCTGCAGGAAAGCTGACGTGGAGCTCTCGGTTTCCGACTCGGATGAATCGACGAAAGATTTAATGGTGTTACGGGCTTTAGTGGCTGCCTCTCTGATTTGGAAATCCAAAGCATGTACTGCAACAGGGATGAGACTTGCTGGCGCTTCGCAGAATTTCTCAAGGCAAGTTTGCAAAGAACAGAGCCTTTCGTACAGAGGTTCCACGTAGGACTTTAGATGATCGAGAGGGAAATTGTCGCGGTGCAACATCTTTGCAAGAGAAACTACGGCGGGAGAAGACGCCATCTCTTTCTTGATCGAACTCGCGATCTTCTTCGCCTCTGCTGCCAGGGGATCGATCACTGCTATTATTTCCTGCAAGAAACTCTCCGACGAGAGGGTGCGTTTGATGATGAAGGACTCGATTTCGTCCTGTGCTTTATAAACAGCATCTCTGATGTTGCCATCCAATACATTTACTTGCTGTCTGATGTTTTTCGTAATCGGGGTGATTTTCTCGAGGGTGGATTGTAAAATAAGGAGCTTTTGGTAAAGGGATTCGATTTCCGGGTTTCGAAGATCGATAGGAAATTGATCAGGGTTCAAGGTTTGCACAAGACACACTATGGCAGCATAAGCCGCCATTTTTGTTGTATCTCTTCAAAATTCTAACTCAGACAAAAAATACTATGCAGTATGAAATATGAAGATTATTTTGAGGTTGAGCTAGAGCTAACCCATTTTGCTAGAAAAAGAAAAAGGGCAATCTGGATCTTGATGAAGATAATATGTATTTTTTCAACGTATTGTTATAGTTGGTTGAGTGATGGGTATCCACATGGATGAAATTATTAGAAAATGACCAATAGCTGAGGCTCTTGTTAGTCAACGCATCTTCAAGACAATGAACCTACCATCAGGCTGGTGGCAATATACAGAAAATATAAAAAATATTACTTTTTATATATAAAAAAAAACAAGTGGGAGTATTTAATTCTCCAATCTTGAATGAGATTGGATCAGCTATTTTTTTTAGAAATGGTGTTTCAATACACTATGTACATCTAAAACATCGTATATGTCCCATTTACCCCCATAAACTTCAAAATGTATCAAAACAATCCTGCCACTAACAGACGTTAGTCAAGCCGTTAGTCTACTTCTTTGTCAAGTTGAGCAATTTGTTCCAAATTTTGATCATCCCCAAATTAACCCTTTTCCAACTCAAATCAGTGTTTTGGTTTATTATGAATATGAATGAAAACATCAATTCAGAAAAAAATCATAAAAAAAATATGTTTTCCATTACAACTACAAGACGTTAAATATAAAAAATCACTTCACCCAATTATTTAAAATAATGGAAATAAATCCAGCAAATAATCTGTCAGTAAACGCAAAAATGAACGCCGAAAAGCAACAAATTGACGTACCAGAGCAGATAATTGAACCACAAAAGCAACAAATTCTTCAAACCCGGCGGAGGTTTTTGCCCGGCCGCGAGTCGGCGGCGGAGTTTAAAGGCTTGTTAGAAAGAGTTCTGTTGAAGCATCTTATTTCTGCCTACTATTTCAGAAAATTTGGGCCTTCGTATGTGCGAATATCTGGAGGTGGAAATTGGGGTTTGGTTTGAAGAAATTGATGTGACACTTCCATTTCGCGAACTGTAATTGGAGATCGGATTTCCATGGCGCGGTTGGAGAAGAGAAAATATTTAGGTTTAGACTGTGTGTGTTGTGTGTGTGAGAGAGAGAGAGAGAGAGAAGATTGATGCTGTTGAAGATTGGCAAGCATGTTTTCCAGCACAGTCGAGGATAAAATGGTAAACTCCATAAACAAGAAAACGGCGTTTTGTTTTGACCGTCAGTCAGACTTGTTGGACAGGGTCCCTTTTTGATATATTTGATAGTTTAGGGGCAAGTGTGATAGTGGTTTATATATAGTACATGGGCAAAGTATAATTAATCCTTATTTATATTTATCAAAATAACTATATAAGAGCATCCAATGCTAAATGTCAAAAGGGGTGATTAGCAATAAGCCCCTCATATAGCTAATAAATGGTGATATGTCTATCCCTTAAATCTTTCTTTGTGATAACCCCTAGAATTTGTATTCCCAATAATACCCTTGTGTTAATTAGCATAATTTGTTTCAATTATTCATTTTTTTCTCTTTTTCCATAACAACAATTTAATTCCTAAAAACCTGCTTCCAAATTCCTAAAAATATGCTACCAAATCAAAAAAATAAAAAAATTGAAAATATTTTATTTTTTATTATTTCGGATTTATTTCGATTTTTTATTATTATTTCGGATTTATTTCGCATTATTTTATTTTTTTTAATAAAAATATTTTTTTTAATTAAAAAAAAATTGAATTTTTTTCTCAACTTGTTTATTAAGCCGAATATGACTATTGGTGAATATGACTATCGACTATAGTCATATTTCTTCTTTATATTCAGTTTTTTATATTTTCATTAAAAATTCCGATTATATAGTGTAGTACAGTCATGTTTACCAAATTATATATAAAAAACGAAAATTGCCTATTGATTACAAAAAACATCCAATCAACATCCATATAAAAAATCACAACTTGAATGTTGTTATTACAAGTCAACTTGAAACGAAAATATGGAACGTATTTGAATATGACTACTGTCATATTCAAACAATAGTCATATTCGAATATAACTATAGTCATGTTACCACTGCTAGTTGAGATCTGACAAAAAAAAAATATTCGAATATGACTATAGTCATGTTGAATATGACTATAGTCATTTTACTCCTGCTAGTTTATAAAATCTGAAGGGAAAAAATCAAAAAATACACAAATAGATAGAGAAATATAACAAAGAAAAGAGAGGGGAGTTGACGACAACGGCGGTGAACGAAAGCAAGAATAAGAGAGGTTGTGACGGTGGTGGCGATGAATAGATCTGAAGAAAAAAAAAAATATCGAATTTAATTTGCAATGTGATCAAAGAAAATAAAGTTTCATTCTTTTGTATTATAAAACGAGAAGCTTAGTTACCTTTTCATTGGTTGTACAATGGAAGCCCTCCCATTCTTTGTGAACAAAACTCGTATTGGTGATTGGCCTAACATACGAGAAATTAAAATATCACTAATCGATTGAAATCAGCAATAGTCATATTCGAACCAGACCATAGTCACGTTAATGCTGCTGCTTCAGATCTGGAGAGAAAAAAAAAGAAAAAAAATTGAAAATAACGAAAGGGAGGGAGGGGGAGACGGCAACAGCGACGGTGAATGAAATAGAGAATGGGGAGGCGGCTATGAAGCCGGTAGTGGCCAGATCTGAAAAAAAAAAGCTTGAGAAATCGAAAGAAATAACGAAAAAGGGAGAAAAAAATTACCTGGAGACAAGGACGCGGCGGCGGCAACGTGAGGATGGTGGTGGTGTAGAGATCTATGTGAAGACGTTGGTGGTGTAAAAAGAGAGAGAAATCGAGAGAGATAATGAACGAGAAATAAAGATATTTATGTGGGAATGAAGGAGGAAGCGACGATGACAATGAGCGGTGGTGGCGCGGCGGCGGCGGCGCGACGGCGGTGGCAATGGCAGGTTGGAATTTCCGGATAGAGTTGAAAGATGTGGAGAGGTGGAGAGGTGGAGAAGATGAAAGTGATAGATGTTGGTAAATAATTAGGGTTGTAGTAGTTGAGGGTATATTTGTCTTCTCACACTAGTAGAGGGGGGTCTCACTAATTAAGAATGAAATTTGGGTGTAGGAAAAGTCTTTAAAAGTCAATTGGGTTTAGTTCAAAATATTTTCCATTTGAGGGGTGTATTGCATATTTCCCCATGTCAAAATTGAATTATCAAATATTCATTTGATATTAGAGATAATATTTTAATATTGATTAAAATTCATCTATATGATAAGTTTATTGGTGATTTTATTTATAATTGCCACATGTCAATTTGTGATTGAATATTTACGTAGTTACATTTTTTATAATTTTCCAGCAAATATATTTACATGCCAAGAGGGGAATGATCGAAATAGGCTCATTTGATAAACTCCATTGGAGCTAAAACTTTCTATTTTTAAGTTTGCAAATGGTGGTTAATGATTTGAGTACCATGTTTGATAACACCATTGAAGTTGCTCTAAGAAATCAAACGCAAATTTCGAAAAGAAAAAAATAGGATACAATTTGAATTTGTCTACTCTATTTGAAAATCAAATTATGTATTGAAAATTGTGGTTCATCTTATAAAAATCATAAGAACACACTATTGATTGTCTCTTACTAAGATGATATTTAAAAATATATATTCGAAGAGGCCTAAACGGCCCGATCACTATTGAGTGGCGATTGTGTTCGGGCGACTTTGCAATACGAGGCGGGCGAATGATGTACAACCCTGAAGCAGGTCAAGTTGGGTGAGTGTGGGCGATTTTTGAAATGGCAAAATGCATCTGTAGCATTTAATGAAGTGATCTGATGGGGGGAATTTTTTTTTTTTGGGCTTGTTTTAGAAAGTAATTTTTAAAATGAGGTTATTTTGGGGGCTGTAAATAAATTGGGGTTGAGCGCCAGCCCTCACGGCGGCACCGACAGGAGAGGCCAGCTCCAACGACGACACGGTAGGAGACGCCACCATCAGTGGCGTCTTCTCTCTATTTTTTAAATATTAATATTTTAAGATTTTAATATTTTAATATTTTAAATATTTATATTTTAAATATTTATATTTTAAATATTTATATTTTAAATATTTATATTTTAAATATTTTAATATTTTCTAATTTTTAATTTTTCTTACAGAATAAAACAATTCTAACTAAATTCATTAGTTTGATGTTAGTATTAAATTTTATATTTTATATATTTTATCCATTAGTGTTAAATTAATCATTGCATATTTTTAATTTATTACACAATAAAATAGTGTATAATCTTAAGAATATGTAGACAAAAACAAAAGGAGTTCTAGAAAATAAAAGAGTTATATAAAATAAATAGGTTCAAAATGAGTACAAGGACAAAATGAGTACAAGAAAATAAAATTGGCACTATGAAGTCAGTGCCTATGTGGACCAGTGCCACATGCAGGTGCCCGTCTAGTCCTACGCGACCTACTATCTCGACGAATGTCAGGATTTGCCGGTACATCATCAACAAACTGGGTGTCATTCGGTGGATATGGAACAGGGAAAATATTATATTGTGGTCGGATCCGCTTTTGGGGACTTGAGTATCCCAAATTGAGCTCCAAATGTGGACCCCATGAAGAGAACCGAGTATCAATAGCAGGAGGATATGGGGTAGCTAGAGAATCGGACCATGGCATATCTGGAACGTAATCATTCGTAGATGGACCAACTAAATTTGTAAATGTGGGTACCTGAGATGTAGACGGACCGAACATATCCATAAATGCCTGTGTAGTAGATAAATCGTCCATACCTCCATGCCTAGAAACATCTGCATAAAAGGGTGTATGAGAAGCAAACGGACCGGCAACATCTCCAGATGGAGGTACCCGAGATGTAGATGCATAATAGTTCCCCTCTCTCGTCTGTCTCACGTCATGCTCCAATTCAGAAGCTCTTTCAGCAGCGCTGGACCTTCTTCTGGTACGTCTATCTCGATGCGGAGAAGGTATATGAGGTATGACAAGTATCGGAGGTAAGCTGGACGAAGCACCATCTCTACGTAGAAGTTGAGTCCCAGCTGCATACATCCGTGTAGCGTTGTCCTGATACATATCATATATCCGATCGTCATCTCGAGAAACTGCCCTAGCAGTAAGACTCATGGATATAAGCTGATTACCTTGAAATAAAAGGCATTACAAGTTTAAGAACTTAAAAAACTGAAAAAACAAATTGAAAAGCATCGAAAGTAATGGTTGTTTTGAGAAAAATACTAACCACAAGATCCAGTAAAATCGGGTCTCCGACCTGAAAACCGATATCATCAAAATTGTCAATCGGTGATATCAAACGACGTGTGCGCCTCTCATACCACTCGTAGTATCCTGGATCTGTCTGAGGCCCACTAAACTCAATAAATGGATAGTCAACGGGAGAATCAAGTCGGCCATGCCATCTATCAACATAGATACGATGAAAACGAGCCCAATCTCTACCCCCTGCACCTCGACGATCATAAGAATGCAACTTAATCTCAATATCGTGATCAGTAGGATGTGGTGGTAGATGTTGTACCCTCCCAAACTGACGTAGCACCCTGTACGGACGATGCATCTCAACTCTCTCGTAAAATATAAGGGGACAACTCGACAACCAAAGTTGTGGATGCACTATCTCAAGATACTCAAGTAAAGCGCCAAACTCAGGATCTAGTTCATGTTGGGTTATGGGCACGTGTACGCAGTGCAAAACAAAATTTTTATGCGATTTAAATAACTTTAAAGCACATAAACACATGCCGGATAATTGAAAGCAATTAATTGCGTACCTTTGCGCTTCCAGCGAAATTAAAAACAACATACATGCTTAATTACTTAACTGAATTTAAATCAATTAGCATGCTCGCGTTTAAATCAAATATTCATGCTCGCAATAAATAAACAATTTCATGTAGTCACATAAAATCATACAAGAAGGAACATATACATTTAATTTAAACGTAAACGAATCAAAGGACAATGAATTCGTAAGTCCACCTCTTGAAGCGTGAGGTAGGCGCACTAAGCAAAACGAGATTGCTACGGAAACCAATCCGTACAATCCGGGGCAGCAGCGGCGGAACGGCAACAGCGGCAAG